CTACTACTACTACTACTACTACTACTACTACTACTACTACTACTACTCGATCTGCTGCTGCTGCTACTACTACTGCTGCTGCTGCTACTACTACTACTACTTCTTCTACTACTACTACCACTCCCACTCCCACTCCCACTCCCATAGATTTGCTGTTTGGTGGTCGTCTAGCCTTGCAAGAGCGCAACTGGATGAATGATGTGGCCCGGCCGGTCAGGAAGGGGCTCTTTTGTAGTTTACATGTATCTGATCTGTATTTTTCCATAATTTCTTTGGACAAAGATCCCACAGCAGCCCCTATAAGTACTATACCAGCGTACCAGAGACCAGAGAAGCAACGAAAAAAAGCACCATCCGCGAGGTGACTCTTACCGAGAAAGCTGACATTTGGCCGGATTGGACCACGAACAAAAGGTCTGAACCCAAAAATGCTTCACAACGCTTCACCCATGACGGGTGTTTAACATCCAACCCTCTTGGCCAATCAGCCTCCCTTCCTCCCCACCATCGCCTGGGAGCGAAAGTCCAACAGAATCATCCCAAGTGCCGTCGGCACTGCCGAGGGGTGGCCTCAAGATCTGGGCTGAGGGGCCAGACCCACCTGCCTCTTGGCCGTTTTCTCGCTGGATTTGGAGTGAAACAAGACAGGTGGAGCAGAGCTTGGGTAGGTGAAGTCGAAAAGAATTCATGTTGGCCTGGTCCAAAGACGAACCACCTTTTCATAATCGCACTGTCTATCTTAAGTTGATGATAGATTGTCCTAGACATCTACGACACTCACCTGTGCACAGATCGATCGACACGCAGCGTTTTGGGCCATCCCTTCCCACCTCTTTCCCCTCGGCCCCCATGGGCGAAACAGCCCGGAGGTCTTTGGAAGCAACGGCAAGGTGGACCTGATTTTGTGCCCTGGCCGAAGAAAAGAACATCTGTTTCGACCGACTCCGGGCCCTGGTGACCAGGGCAGGAGCACGCTGGCCAGGCCGTGTTCCTTCCTTGTTTGTAGAGATGAGGAAAGACGAGGAAAGGAGCAAACATGAGCAAACACGTGCAAACACTAAGTCTGTTGAGCAGATGGAGTCAATGGATGGAGTATGTGGATCATTGGGTGATGCAGCGATGCAGCTGCGGCCCTGTTGGCCTTCACCAGCCTTCCCCGTTGACCCGACATCCGATGATACTCCGCGTTCCCCGCGTGAACTTGTGCCCGGCCCAGCACCTGGACGAAAGATACTCGTGCCAAATGGATCATGACCAAGGCCTGGCAAGGGTGAAGAAACTCAAACGACTACCCTCTGACTCATGTTCCATGGAAGTGGATGGCATGGTCCCTTTTGGAAGAGTATATTTTCCCTTTACAAACAGCGGGCGCCACTTTCACGAAACCCTGTGATGTTTTCCTGTGCCAGACTGTGCCATCACCGAACAGGTCTTGGACAAGTCCTTCACCTCAGAAAGCCATATTTAATCCTTTTTACATGGAGCATGAATCCCTTTCTCAGTGGATCCCTTAAGCAGTCAAAAGATGCCAAAAGTAGTAAGGAACCAGGGAGTTTCGTTCGGCCTTCGGTTGAAGTCAAACTGGAACCACTGGTGACCTTCTGCATGTGGCAAGTGGATCCACTGCAACTTGGTTGTAGGCGGCAGATTCTGCAGATTCTTGGAGCTGGTGGAACCCTCCAACATGACAGGTCAACCTGTGCAAAACGTG